AAAAGGGGTACAAAAAGGTTGAGCCCCCCCCCCCCCAACATTTTAACTCTGGCTGGGGGTGAGTCATGGTTCTGTCTTGTTGTTTCCCTGCATGACTTGGTGCAGGTTCGTTTCTTTGTTCTGAGACGTGAACTCAGCGTTTTGGTCCAAGATTCAGGTCTGATCTGGAGTCGGTGTCAGTTAAGGCAGAGAGAACACTTTTTTTTTGTTATCAGCAGCAGGAGGGTCTCCAGAGAGAATCCAGGTGAGGGGGGGGCGTTACCTGGCATGTAGCTTTTTTTTCTCGACATTCCCTAAAGCTCAGAGATTCTCCGGAGAATCCATGTGTGAAGGCAAATATCTGTAGAAGCTGGAGCAGGATATTCCAATGTGAGCTGCGTGGAAAACTGCAGAAAATTCTCACGGACAGGTTTTTTTTTTTCCAGTCATTCTATGAAGTCTTCTGATGTTAAATTCATGGCCCGGGGGCCACTTTTGGCCCACAAATTCCCCAAATTGGACCAGTGACTAAATGTCAATAATGACTTTAAAAAAAATATTTTGGCAGACATTTTACAAAGATTTTAACAGCAGAGCCTCCTCAGCGTCTGTGATCGGACTACGGCTCATTACGAACATTGCTTTGGATGAAGGTGTAAAATTAGCGTCTCCGTGAGGTTAGATCGCTGCTCAAGGTCAGGATGATGTCAGCAGGGAGCTGTGAGTCAAGCTGCCTCCACACAGGAGACCGAGTTCAGGTTGATTTTTTATGTAAAAAAAGAAAACCGTGTGGAAAGATAATTCAGTGATGCCTTTACAAATGCTGGTCCTTAAACTGAAACTGAACTGAACTCTGTTCAGCCGCAGACCCTGAGGTTTTTGACCACGTCCAGACTTAGATGTTTGGAGCGACTGTTCACAGCCCTCTGTGGTTGATCTCCTGAGAACTTCAGTGCAGGTCTGAGGGCAGCTCCATCAACCTCTGTGTGGCTCCTCGGCCTCCGGGACACACACAGGACCTCATTGTTTGCCCCATTCGTCATTGGCGCTGACATTCGTCACAGCCTCTCCGGCTGTATCGACACCCTGAATGTCAATCAGATGGTTCCCCCGTGAAACGACGACAAAGTGTCGGAGCGCCGTTTCTGCTGCTGCAGAGGCTGAACGTTGGTGGAGAAGCCGAAAACGGTGTCACATCTCTGACAGTCGACAGTCGAGTCCTGGCTGCACATTATTACAGAGCAGCTCAGAGAACAGAGGCCTGTAATGAAAAGTTGGCCGGGGGGGGGGGGGGGGGGGCACCTGTTTGAGGAATAAACTCAATCAGCAGCTCTGTCCTGGACTCTCTGACAGCTGCCAAGAGAGAGGGGGTGAGAGAGGAAGAGAGGGAGAGAGGGGGGGGGGGAGCCCCCACCGCAGGGCCAGGATAAACGGCCTTGTTGAGCCTTATTGATCTGCCCACTTCATCTTTAGCTGTTCCTCACTCCATATATATATGTGTGTCTTTGTGTGTGTGTTTGTTTGTGTAGATGTTCCCAGACTGTGGCTCAGCTGTCGAGTCGTCTCGAGGTCCAGCGTTAGACGCCGCTTTCTCCACGATGCACCTGTGAACTGAGGCGGAAAGATGCCGCGCACCAAACAGAACAACCCCAAAAATTTAAAAGGTGAGTTTGAGCTGAGGTGTGATGTCGATGCTGACGTTGATGTTGACGTTGATGTTGTGGTCAGCTGGCAGATGTGGGCGACGTCCAGGCCCTTGATTGACCCAAGGTTTGGTTTCTGTCCTGGAACCTTGAACCTTGAACTAGTTCATTTTCTCTGGTTTGGTTTCTGTTCTTGAACCTTGAACCAGTTCATTTTCTCTTCACTTCATTTGTCTTCTAATCACAGAGAGTTTCGATGCTGTTTCGAGTTGTGTCGTGGTTGAATGTTTTCAGTTTTCTCAACAATTTGGCAAAATCCCAGAACTTTCCTGATTATATTTCTTCTTGAAATGTTGTCAAATTCCACGAGTCTTTGTGCAGAGTTCCTGCTGCATCTCAAACTGGTGAAGCTGCTTTGTTGTTGGGAGGATGAAGTTAGTTTGACATGTGACATGAAGATGATAGTTGTCGTCTTCTCCGGCTTTTATAAACAATAATTGAACAAACAGAGCCTGCTCTGTAGGAGTGGTGGAAATAATGGTTTGATTCCGATGCACCGTGGTTGTGTTTTGAACAATTAGAAAGTGGAAACAAAAACAACTCGTAACTGATATGTTTAAAAATAAAATTCAGTTTTCTATCATGTCAACAACAGGCTGGGTCATGTGGATCCCTTAACCAATTGACTCATCAGAAATAATGAGTGTAACTAAAGCACATCACCGGAGAGGCTGAGTAAACAGGCTTGATCTGGAGAACAGTAACCCACGACCGACGCCCCCTGTCTAGGATTCTGACAAAAAAGTGACAAGAAAAATGCTTTAAAAAAGATCGCAAAATAATTGTGAGAAAATGAGATAAAGCAAAAATATTAAACCAAAAGTGGTAAAAGTTTGGAAAAGTGAACTAAGGATGAAAAAAAAAAGTTTTAAATTGATTATAAAAATCCTTAGCTTCATTTAATTATTGTTTAAAACTATTTTTATTCATTAAGGAATTTCATTATTGTCCTTGGAACTAACTTTTAAATTTGACTAACTCTGAGTTGTTGTTTTTTTTTCTATATTTTAACATTTCTATCTGGTCATTTATGATTCCTCATAATTGTTTCATCATAATTTAATAATCATAATTCAGTGGTGATTTTCTCTCCTCTACTGACCTGTGTCTCTAGCTCGTTGACCCCACATGGGGTCAACAGTCTGGGTCACATGTGTTCAGACCTGCAGGAGAATATATTCATCAGCAGTGGCTTCAAACGGAGCTCGTCCAAATCACAGGTCGTGTCAAATACACTCACGCAGATAAATGGCAGCCGGTGACATTTGGGCTTTTTGTCGTGAACGTAGGAGTCGATCTGAAGGTTTTGCAAAGTGTGCTTTTGGTGTGTGTGTCTGCTGGGGAACGGAAGAAAAAAATATCTGACAACTTGACGACCTGACAGCTTTACTGCACCGATGCATGAATCTGTCAGAGAGCCGGGAGATACAGCTGTCACACAGCACGACCTGGAAATGACTGCAGCTCCGAGGCCGAGTCCGGTTCGTCTCTGTAGAAATCACATGTAAACAGACGGTGAGACGTCACAAAAGGCTTTTGTTGAGTTTCACCACACGAGGCCTGATGATACATGTGGTGTGAACACACAAGACCAGTCGACAGCTGCAGGGCGTCCTGGAAACCTGGTGTGGTGCCCCCCCACCCCCAAACTTGAGGAGGGGGCGGCGTGACTCAATGTTGTCTTTGACAGGATCGTGCGCGTCACCAGAACACATGAAGCTAGTCTGCACGTTTAGCAACACAACGTAGCAATAGCTGTTAGCAGTAGCGGATATTTGTCGGCTATGGTATATTTTTTTGAGTGTTTTTTTCTTAGTGTGTACACAGGACAGTACAGATGTATTGTGAAGTACTACTTCATATTTTGACCTCGCAGTGTGTAGAGGATTTGGTGGAGTGTAGTTCTGCGTTTGTGCTTCCTGGACCCCCTCTGCAGTAGCTCCGGTCTCCCTGTGGGGTCCGCACCTCACTTTAAGAACAACCGACCTAGGATTTGTATCAAAACCAGCTAATGATTGAAGCTGAGACCATTGTTATTCCTCTGAAGGTTAGGGGTAGAAATATTGTGGTTTTTTTTGGACGTTAGCGTTATTCCTCCTAGCCGTTAGCTCTCAGGGTTTATGAGTGAGATTACACTGAGGTGAATTATTGTTGGCTATTTTATCTAATTCCCTAAAATCCTGCCGAGGCAGCGTGAGGCTCACTTTTCACAGATCTGAGAGGAGCGTCTTTAATTAAAAGCAGGCTCGGATCTGTGTGGAGAAGCCTGGGAAACATCGATAGGTGAGCGCACGGAGGAAACCAGCTCTGTGAGCGAGCGGCGGCAATTTTACCACGCTCAAAAAACTGCATTGATCGGATAATGAAAAAAAAAAAAAACAGTCCGTACAAATCCAACAAAAAATGCACTTAGCCCTGACAGATTAGAATGTGCAAGTTGTTAGTCAAAAAGTTCCAAGACAGGTCGTTTCTGAAGATGTCTGATGTAAAATAAATAAAGTTATATATTGGTGGAGTGCTGTACTGTGATGAGGGTAGATAGACCACCATCAGATGCCCCCCTGTGGTCACACCAGTGAGGTAATTAATCACCGTTTGTATTAAAGACAGGTGGATCTGAGGTGACACGTGTCTTGGTCGATTCTCCCTCTGCAGAAGTAGAAGTAGCTCAGCTCAGTTCCACACAGAGACAACGGTACCGGTACCGTGCTGGGGTTTTTATTAAGGACAGGTGGATCTGAGACAACGGTACCGGTACCGTGCTGGGCAAATGAAAGTTCCAGTAGAACTCAGTGATGACAGACAGAGGGAGCTGTAGTTTGGCTGGAAGGATTCTGCCGCGTTATGTCGAGAACTGACAGATTTACACGTCAACAGACGTTTGCAGTTCGCACAATCTCTAAATATGCAGCGTTGCATGCTGGGTGTGAAAGTGTGCATCGCTCCATCACTCAGTGGAGTGTCTTTGTTGTGTGAGTGTGTATGTGTCCGTCCTGCGTGTGTATCTATCACACCAGCAGTGTGTGTGTGTCCTGTGTTTGTCCCTCTGGAGCGTACCCGTCCAGAAACACGAACAGTGAGGTTCTAGAACAATACATGACATCACCGATGGCAGGACCGGAGCAGCCGCGTCCAAATGAGACGTGATTCTATTTTTAATGGGAGGCTGTTGTTTGTGTCGGTGCTGCAGCTGCTGCAGTGATCTGGAAGATTTTTTTTTTTTTTACCTAGTTTGAATGTGTAAATAAAAGAACCTGACTGGGAGTAACTAGAGTGGAACCAGGGAATGATGGGCCTGGACTCTGGAGCACGGAGACATTCCCAGAGGAGGATGCTGCTGCTGGAGTGCCTTTCCATTGTTGCTCTTGTTTTTGTTTTTGGGTCCCTTTTTTTTTTTGCAAAAGTTTCAGTGTCACTTTTTCCTCCTTTTGCATCTGTTGGTGATCTTTCTCCTGCATGTCATGGTAATTGTTTTCATCTGTTTTGGAAAAAAAAAACAATACTTGTGTTTGGTAAAGGATTATTTTGTCATTTCATTGCAGTTCCTGTATGAACTCCATGAACCTGTGACTTCATCAAAATAAGGAGAAAAAAATACTATATATGTGCAGTACATGTACATACAGTATATAGTATTTTTTTTCTTCTATATATGTATATATGAGTATATATTAGGGATGTCAGACTTTTTGCCGATATGCCGATATTTTTTAAACACCTAATTTCCGATTCCGATATGCAACCGTTTGAGGTTAACTTCTCAGGAACTATTTGGCAAAACCCAGACATTATGTGATCGGGTTTTCATTATTGGAGGAAAAACCAATAATGATTTTTACATATATATTTACATATATATCTATCTATCAGCGGTAGAGGAGAACCAACAGTTTGTCATACTCTCTGATAGACAGCAGGGGGTTTTACCAGAGACCAGTTTGACCTTTGACCCAGTGCACACGTCCCTCTTCTTCCTGGGCCTGCCCTGGAGGCCACTTCCTCACACTGCATGACATGGTAACAGCTTGGCCTGATATCACATGTTCGATCTGTGCGGTGGAGAAACAGCCTATTCTTGGAGCCGTCAAGAACCACGCTGCACAGTGGAGTGGAACCATCACATGATGCTCTTCACTCTTTTCATAAAAACACTGCTCGGAGCTGAATGACTCACAGTGTTTTCTTTGGTTAATAGCAGCTCTGTAATTAAAATCAGCAGAGACGCTTCCTGTAGCGTTGGAAGGTATTATTGCAAAATCAAATGAGGAGACAAACCTCTGGAGGGTTTTATTTGGTTTAAGTGTAAAAAAGTTAAAGTCGTCAAACCTTTGAAAGCGATTATCTCTTGACCCAGCAGAGGGCGCTTCAGTGCAAATCTCTTGGACCATTGGTAACAGTTTTGCTGTTAGCAAGCAAGCTAAACTGTACACCTGTAAGGGATGGTTGTGTTGTTTGAAGTATTGAAGTACTACTAAAGCTGATTATCATGTGTTTTAGGTGATACTTGGGTAAAAATAGACCAATCCAACTGAACCACCGGGGGGCGAGCTTCACAGAAAGTGTGGAGGAGTCAAGATTCTACTTCTAGTTGTGTGCAGAAAATGCAGTTTCTTTCATGAATATTAGGTAACCAACGTCAACACACAAACCAAACTTGTGTTTAGCTGATGGTGTGAAAGGTCAGAGAGAGGTCAAAGGCTGGGTTTATTTGTTTGGAGGAATTTAGATAAAACATAGATTCAGTTTCTTCAGACTGGAATCAGGTTCTCGGGTTGAAGGTCTTGTCATTTTTCCCTTCTGACTTCCTGGATATTCCAGGAATATGTGTCTAATGTTTTGAAGCTAACGTTTTGAAGCTAACTCTACAGCCACTCTGTCCTGTCAGAGGGCAAAAAAACATGGCTGCCCTTCTGGACAGCGCCACCGTGACCTGGCAGCAGCGTGGGCATCTATCTGCTGAA